GGGGCTGCTCCATGCCTCGGCAGCCTGGGAGGGGGGCGGTGCGAGGCTCCCGGCCCCGCCCCGGGGAGCAGGAGGGGGACACGCCTCTGGGGGCAGCCGCCCGCGTGCAGCCCGCCCCGAAGCGTCGCACCCCTGGGTCTCGCCTGGGGCAGCTGGGCCACAGGTTCTGTTCGAAGTGGATTCCCAGGACAGCAGACCGAGCGTCGGAGTCGGAGATAAACAGGAGAACGCGTTCCCTGGGCGGGCAGGACGGGCGGTTTCTGTTTTCTCTGTAGCTCAGGAACAGGCCGACTGGGTTCTGCCACCTGCGACGACCGACACAGCACAGGGGACGAGGGGCTGGGACTGCCCGGGGAGCGGGAGGAACCGGGCCAGGAGGCCTGGCTGCTGGGCTCTGGCCTTAGGCCCTCGGTCCACAGGGACTAATTCGGCCTTCTTTTCTTTGTTTCTTTTTTTCACTTTTGAAATTTTTATTGATTTTAAATATAAAACAAAATCCAGCTTGAACTGCAAAATTCCACCAGGAGCGACCAGTGGGACTACAATGTTTTCAATATATTACTAAAACTGCTAATGTATGCAATAAAACGGAATTCACAGTAGCATAATGTGAGCTTTTTATTACAGTGGTTTATACATTAGGATGAACTAATATTTATTTATTTTTGTACTAGAGATTGGACCCAGGGCCTTTAACTCAGCTACATCCCTAGTTCTTTTTTTTTTTTTTTTTTTTTTGACAGTCTCTCCCTAAGGTGCTAATTTGCCCAGGCTGGGCTTAAACTGTGATCGTCCTGCCTCAGCCTCCCAGAGGCTAGGATGAATTAAAATTTTAATGTAACACTTTAATAGGTCTGTACAAAAAGATTCAAAAAGTAACTTGCCAAAACTTGTGACTATGAATGTGGTGGTTTTCGTTTGGTTTTTTTTTGAGACAGGCTCTCCTTACATAGTTCAAGCTGGCCTCAAACTCACTGTGTAGCCCAGGCTGGTCTCAAACTGGCAGTGGTCCTCCTGTCTCAGCCTCCCAGGTGCTGGATGACAGGTATGCGTCACCACACCCAGTTTATGAATGTGTTTGAAACCACAGCTCTGTAAAAGACTAGTAAAGAAGACACGGTGGTCAAATGCCTAAAGTAGGTGGCTACGCCTTCGATCACCCAAGTTGCCAGGCTCCAGGGCCTCTGTTGCTGGGAAGGCAGGGCTAGCACTATCCCACCAGGCTGCTTGTCCTGAGGGCTGGGAGCTGTGTCCCCAGTTCCACTTGCTGGGCACAGACAATGCTCAAAACATGCTCTTGGGCCGTGTGTCCATCACTACTTACTGGGTACCTACTGTGTGCCTGGCCTGGTGCTGCACCCCCTTGGGAGATTCTGTTGCTCACAGCAATGACCCCTGTCCTATTTTCAAAGAGCTGGACCAGATGTGATATGCTTATGTTTTTTTTAAAAAAAGATATTCTTCCTTGCCACAAATAGCTCCATTTTTAACTGTGCAATTCAGTGGTTTGTGGTATATTCACGAGGTCCACACATGATTTTAAATTCTCAAGATAGGGGCTGGGGATTTAGCTCAGCGGCAAAGCGCCTGCCTGGCAAGCGCAAGGTCGTGAGTTCGATTCCTGGTACCGGAAGAAAAACAAAAAAAAAACAAAACTAAATTCTCAAGATAATGATTGGAAAAAAAAAAAAAGATAATGATTGGGCCAGGAGTGCTCATGCACGCCTGTAATCCCAGCACTTGGGAGGCTGAGGCAGGAGGATCATTGTGAGTTCAAGACCAGCCTGGGCTACAAAGTGAGCTTGAGGCCAGCCTGAACTGCATATCCAGACCCTGTCTCAAAAAAAAAAAAAAAAAAAAAGATAATGATCCGTGTGAGCATTGTCACCCACATTTTGTTAATAGGGAAGCAAATATCCAGAGAGGCTGAGTCACTCACCACCCAGCAGGAACTGCAGAATGAAGACTTGAACCCACACAGCCGAGACCAAAGCCCAGCTCTGGGCAGGAGGTTGGAGGGCCTCTTGGGATGAGACCAGACGATGCAGGGTCTTAAAAGCCATCCACTGGCTGGGTGTGGGGGCACATGCCTGTAATCCCAGCACTTGGGAGGCTGAGGCAGGAGGGTCACTGAGAATTTGAGGCCAGCTTAGGCTACACAGTGAGTTCAAGGCCAGCCTGGGAGACATAGTGAGGCCCTGTCTCAAAAATAAATAAATAAAATCCATCCTTGAAATGAGATCCTTTTGCCACAGCAGGCTGGTGAGCAGGTGAGTGGAGAGGCTGCATTTGCAGTAGCAACCCTAGGGGCTCTTTCTAGAAAGGTGTAGAATTTAGTCTGTGTAGGAACTGGCCCTGTTCCCCTTTAGCTGCTGTGTGTCTACCATTGGTTCTTTAGCAAAACAATACAACAAGTGCACTGGGAGCCTGCTTTGTCCCGCGTCGGAGTGACAAGTCCACAGTATCTGTCCCCAAGACCTCCCCACTGGTGGGGGCCCCAGGTGCACAGACAGAGCAGCCACCACGAGGCAGGAGGCACAGGGTGCTGAGAAGAGGCCAGTGGCCAGCAGCCCATCAGGGGCACGGGAGCTGCGCAAGGTGACATCTTAGCGTGGCCGCCGTCCCAGGCTGAGGCCTGAGGTCACGGAGTGCGAAGGTGTCGGCCGGGGCGGGCAGCCGACTTAGCGCCCCGGGGGGGGGGGGCGGGGACAGCGGCAAGGGAGCCAGGTGTCAGGCTGGGGGCTGAGGGCTGCTCCTGAGAGCACTGGCTTCCTGCTCTCCCCGCCCACCTGGCAGGGTGGCAGTGCAGGTCCCAGAAGCCAGGGGAGCCTCAGGCAAACCCCTACAGCCTGGCGGGTGCTGCGGGGGATGTTGGGGAGGGCCTGGTACTGCCAGAGCAGCAGCTGCCCCAGGCGACGACCTGCAGCCTGCAGGGTGAAGCGAGCAGGGTGAGGCAGGGCCCCTAGAAGGAAGGCAGCGCTCTGTGCTCGGGGACCTCGGCGTGGCTGGGGTAGCAGCGAGGGCGGACGCAGGCAGAGCCTGAGGCCTGGGGGCCCGCGGCCAGGACGCCAGGTCGTGGCTTTCTCGCCCTCCCGGCTGCTCCCAGACCTGCTCAGACGAGAGCTGATGGTTAAGAGCCTCGCTCGGCCATCCCCACTGGGCCCCGTCTCGGGAGAGATGTGCCGGGCGGAGGCACCATGGTCAGCTGGCAGGGCGGTGGGCAGGTGGCAGGTGCTGCGGGAGGAGAAGCGGCCGCACCCCCTGCCCAGCGCCCTGCCGCAGAACCGCGTGCAGCCCTGATTAGGAACCGCAAGCACGGACAGGACGGGCGGAACACAGCCTCTGCCCCAAGCCGCACACGCTCGCGTCTGACCTAACCCGCGTGCTAATGACGGCAGGGCAATTTTGCGAGGCGGCCTGCAGCATCCATAAGGAGAGGAAAAGCACCGAGGGCTCCTCGAGAGGAGGCAGCTGCCGCCCTCCCCGTCCCCACAGAGACGCTGCTCGCATGCAGACGCGATGGCGCAAGAGGGACAAGGACAACGGGCAGCCAGAGTGCGCAGGGGCGAGGAAGAGGGGCTGCCCTCTGTGCAGCGGGCAGACACGGCCTACGGCCAAGGCGAGCGCGCTGCTTGGGCAGAGTGTGGGCTGAATTTGAACCCCGCTCACCCTCTTAGCTGGAGGCTCTTCTGCAGTCAACACCCTGCACCACTGTACCTGGAGGTGCTGGGGAGAGGCGTGGGGCCGGGGGGCGGGCAGGAAGTGAAACTAGCAGTAATAGACACCAGAAGGGGCTGGTGGGAGTCAGTCCACGCGGACCCCCACCCTCCTCTGAGAAAGCTGAGAGAAGGGGCACGCAGGCTCCCCTCAGCAGGGACTCCCTGAATAAGAGCAAGGTGGGCACCCAAGGGCCGCACATGAGTTCCACCGGGTGGAGCAAAGGGCAGAGGCCAGCGAGGGGCGCTGCCAGCCTCCTTCCCTTCCTCCAGCCCTGCCCGTGCCCTCCCGCCTCCTGACTGCCCTGCAGACCCGGCC